ATGGCTTTACAACGCACTGTGAGCGTGTCTGGAAGACAGAGAGAGCTGTGGGGAGGGAGAAGGTAGTGGAGAAGTTAAGCTTTTGAAGAAGATCTCTACTTTAAAAGGGTGTGGGACATGTTGGAATTACCAAAAAGCTATAGATAAGAAGAAAGTCTGGAACCTGCATGGAATAGGCCCTGTCTGCAGAAGCTGTATAAGTTGGCTGTCAACACCCACTACAGCAACTGAGGACTTAATACAACAGCTTGAAAACTCAGGAAGAACACTATACATGGCCTCTATGTCCACAAGTACAGAAAATGTCTTACATGAGACCTCCAGTAGGACTTGGGGCTCTAAGAAGGATACCATAATGAAGGGCTGTGGACCCTGCCCCATCAGTCTTCAGCAGCAAGTCCAAGTAGATCAGCCAGAGATGAATACAGTGGTGATGAGATTTCCTGTGAGGGCAAGGATTTAGAGGATGGTTTACCTGCTCTCTGGTGGCCAGGACAGTCACTCTTCCAATGACTCTTGAGATTGCAGAAGGGACATTCTCCTGCCCAGCATCCTTCTTTTTCACACTTGAAGCATGGTCCATGAGGGGCTTGGGCAGTCCCATCTTATCTTAGATAGTTTACCTGTCTTAGAGCTCCACTCCAACTTTCACTGCTAAAAGATCAGATTGTTACTTTTCTTTTGATTTTTATCTATGTTGTTGAAAACACAAAAAGCCATATTGAGATGATCTCTCGGTGGGGTTTGAGGGCCAAATTTAGCCTTTTATCTTGGAATCTGGCCCACAGTGGAAGGTATCCGCCTCCTCGACAGTCACAAGACATTTGGTCCTCTGTGCTGGCTACTTTGAGGCCCGAGCCCTGTCTGGCTGCCTATAATATTTTTAACTGACTTAGCTGCCTATAGCATGTTTTCTCTGAAGAAGTAACCCAAAAGTGCCATGAGGGATAATGGTCGGTGACCAGTCTGATTCCTTCAGGCTGAAGGGGGTTGAAGTTGTTGAATAGCAGTCAGGGATACTCTGCAGGGCTTTTAACTAGTGGCCCTTGGTAGATAGCAGTCATTTTCATCTTGGGTAGGTGTACAGCTTTAAGTCTAAAGGAGACAAAAGCAAAGAATCAATTAAGTATGAAGGAGTCAAATAATAGAATCAACAGGGTATTTATGAGCATAATTTTAGTAATGGCTTCCCATAAGGAGCATAAGGCTAAGGTCCAGGGAATTTTAGAGACCGACATGTCATTCGTCGTATACACTTGTAGGTTTTACAATTTTACAAGTACCTCTTGTTCTGTTAGAATGTCTAATGTTATTTGATTTTTGGAGGATGGCCTGTTTTATTAATTTGACCTTTTATTTAGGAGAGAGATCAGCTGAGTGTCATTTAAGGTCAGCTGAGTATAGTTAATTATGGCCCCAATATGCATCATGTAACCTGTTTCTGGAAAAATCTGGTAGATTCCAGTAAAAGGAATCTAAAAAGAATTTAGTATATTTGTTATGCTGCCTCAGGGTTTGGCACTTTTTAGGCAAGAATAAACTTTAATCAAAGCACGTATAATGAAAGTTTAAATCATGTATAATCAAAGCATGAGCAGTAGCAGTTGAGTTTAGAAAGTGCTTTTAGGTTATAGCAATTGTAACTCATTGGCTCTTAGGTCCTTTTGTTAATGGACATTACATAAATTTTTGTTTAAAAATAATCATTTGACTGATGACTTCATGTTGATTTGATTTGAATCTCTTGGCTGGAGCACAAGAAAAAGGCAGATGTCGGGTTCTGAAAGAAAATATTTATCATCATAAACAATCCAAATTTTATATCTGAAAGCATGAATATACCATCAGATCAGCAACAATGAATTGTCTTAGTGATATGAACTTTACTTGGGGTGTCTCCCATAAGGCTGTGGAGATTATTGGAGCCTCCAATTAATGAACAAGAGCTGGTTAAAGTACCAGGTGGCCACTTTCTTATTTATCAGTTGAAGTCTTGCCCAATGTCTCCTCACCCCAAGGGATTTTGTTTAACAAGTTTTAGCATCATTTTGACCAGCTGGCAACCCAGGTGGAAGCATGTTTTTTAAATCTATAACCCAAATAAACCTTGATTAAATGGTCTGAAAATGCAATAGAAAAAGGAAAAAAGATTGTTGAGCTCAAATATAAAGAAACAGCTGCTTATAGAGCAGACAATGGATAAACATGGAAAGACAATCTGTGCAGTATAAACAGAATGGACAAACAGACAACAGATATATAGACTGACAAACATCTTACAAGTTCTGAGTGCACTCAAATATATTTGGCCAACGTGGACTATAATAAATAGGCTAGTGTGAACCTTTTTGTAGATTAATTAATAGAGCTTTCTTGGAATAAGAATAGCAGAAAAGGAACCTATTTATGTTTACTCTGAGATAGGTCAATGGTGGGGGCAAGAACATGACTATGAACTGGTCCCTCAGGACCAGCCTGTTTCTGAAGTGGGAATAGGGACTGAGGCTGAGAAGACTGTGCAGTGGGACCTGTAGATGGCCACTGAGCAGCCAACTGCCCAGCAGGCATCTGTGGGCAATTGCATGGTGACTGACTGTAAAATGGCTGCTTGTCACTATGTAACAGGGAAACACAAGATGGCGACTGATTACCATGAGACCCACAACTAGATGGCTACTGCTGGTCCCATGATGAAGGACTCCAAGAAGGCAGCCATTGACTCTGTGACCAACTGCAAGATGGTGGTGCACTGTCTTGTGGCAGAGGGCTACAAGATGGCAGCTGTCCTCCACATGAGCTGCAGCAAGATGGCTGCTGAGAACTGTGTGACTTGCTGGAATGCTGGAATGCAAGAGACCAAGTATGGTGGGCTGGTGGGGAAAATGGCAACGCAGGGATAGAAGGCAAAGAACAGTCCGATGGAATAGATGGCTCAGGTAGAGGGGATTGAGAAATTGGAGACTGGGGACAGAAACTAAGGGAAGGATTAGAGGCCACTGAGGGTGAGGAAGGGGGAGAGGATGGCACAGGGGACACAGAAACCTCTGGCTGAGAAGGCTGTGGGGTTTGGTCTTGGAGGTACAGGGAGGAGCCATAAAGACAGGCCTCATCTAAGGATCCGGTGGGCAGGGAGAGAGATCCTGGGGGAGCAGAGTGAGCCAGAAGTGTTTGGGCCATCACAGAAGACAGTGTGAGAGAAGGACACGTCCTCAAAGTTAAAAAGGCCTAAAAATGAAGAGTTTCAGCCAACTTGCCGCCATTGTGACAAAAGTATAAATAAAGATTAGTTTTTTCATTTTTATAGCCTTCTAAAGGCCAAGAGCACCAAGGTTATGAACCAGGCACCCCAGTGGTGTGTTTTTCAGGGGACCGGAAGTGGTTCCCATGACTGAATTATAAGTGAGCTAAGAGGACAACTTCACCTTGGGACATAAGAGCATTAGCTCCCCCCAAGGAACGTGGAAGCTGTGCTGGGTCACACCTATCAGAAGGGGTCCTCACCTGTTTTGAAAGTGTGACACGGAAGATCCCAACACCCCTTCTCCTTGGCTGTCACTGAAGAGTGTGGGGCGGGGCCCCAGGGAACAAAAATAACCGTTTTGCCTCGTGTGCAGCCTAAGGACCATGAAAACTGCTGTCTCTGTCCAGGGATGGCAACAGAGAGGCTTTCTGACTCATGCTTGCAAATTTTAGGAATGGAAACAGAGAACCCCGGACGTCAGCTCACCTGTCATGAGTGAGGAAGGTCTCTGTTGCATGTGGATTAGTGGCAGCAAGTAAATAGTCCTGGAGGAAAAAATAGGGGGTTCATAGGCAGGGAGCTCGGACTGGGAGTGACTCCCAGGAGCTAGCGCTCTGCCATCTGAGTCACAGCACCATAATGTTAGAGAATTCTGGTGCAATACAGAAGCAAAAGTACAGAATGAGGACGTGGGAAGGAGCACACAACCCATGGAGCTGGGCTGTCTCCTGCAACCAGGTACAGAGAGGCACAGGGTTCTATGACCTCTGATTGAAGTGGTGCATAGGGCGGATATTGATGACGTGTGAGGAACCGATTGGACTTCTCTGTGTGTGCAAACAGGAAGGGGAGTTGCAGTGAGGGCTGAGGAAGAAGCAGGAAGTGGGAGGCGTTTCCACTTTGGCCTTCCACTATGTTAGATCACTGCCATAACTGTACAGTGATTTATACTAGGGCAAGAACCTTTCACTGCCCTCTGTGAACCTGGGCTGTGTCTCAGTGTGAAAGCAAGCAACCTAGAATGTAAATACAAGTCCACAGAGTTCCTAGCAGATTTCAGAGAAAAAGCTAATTCCTTGAGGCTGTACACATGCTTGCAAATCTCTGGGAGAGTAAAATTCTGACTTTCAAGCTAGGCATGGTGGTGCATGCCTGTAATCCCAGCACTCAGGAGGCTGAGGCAGGAGGATCACTGCAAATTCAAGACCAGCCTGAGCAAGAAAGTGAGCTCCAGGCCAGCCTGAAATACATAGCAAGACACTGTCTCAAAAAGACCTCCCCGCAAAAAAAAATTTAGACTTTTTTCTCAGGAACATCAATCAGCTCTTGGCTGAATGCACAAAGAAAAGATTGTAAGATTTCAAAGTTTTTTGTCCCTTTCTGGTTGCTGTTTACCTTCCATACCAAGAACAATGAAAATAAATATTAATTTTCAATGGAAATCATTTGACTTTGACATTTTGGATGTAGTAGTTTTGAAGTAAAAATAAAGATGGAATTTCAAAATACAGTGTGTATGGGATGATCATGTTCCTCATATGAAAATCTGAAAGGAAAATCATAGAAGCTGATACAGTACTTACGCCATAAAAGGAAATAAATGTAAAATACATTTCATAAGTGTTTCAAACTTTTCATCAGAAGTACAATTTCTATCAAGAAAATAACACTCCAAAACATCATGTTTACTAAAAGACAATACAGTTTATGTTGAAGACATTGTTTTGGGACAGAAAGGACTGAAAAGTAGAACAAAAAATAAATATGCAACATTCTCAATCAATTTTATTGACAACACCAATGGAACTATCTGCTTCTCTGAGTGCATAAGATACTACACAAAAATTTAAGTGCATTTAGTTTACTAATATGATCCAAATGGATTTAGCTTAAGAAAATGAGGATAAGACATAAAATAAAACTTGTCTAAACTTTACAAAGAGAACTGAAAAAGCCACAAAACTTTCAATGGGTGAAACTATATTCAAAGTTGGTTTGTTAACTAATATAAAAAAAATCTGCAGAGGGAACCACGACTCAGGTGGGCCAGCTTGCAGCGTGTGTGAAAGCCTGGGCAGTCGGTGAGGACCAAGGCAGACTTCCTCCCTCCTGGCTGGGCCTCTCACTGTGCAGGTGGACTCTGGACCTCAGAACCAGCTCCACACAGCCAGCGACGCTTTCTTCTGCCTCCCACTGGTGACTACCAAGCCTACACTTCTCAGAACCTCTTTCTTTGTACATAGTGGCAGAGCTTCAGAAGAAAACTGGAGTACTGAGCACAGAGGGGTAACAGCACTTCGTGACTGGTGTGGACAGTTTGGGGTCACCAGTAGATTTTGACAGCAGGAGAGGGAATCATTAAAAAATACCGAAGGCAGGGGCTGTTCACCAAACAGAGCACACCCGATGTCCCTCAAGAAGAGTGGTCAGGAGAGGGAGGGCAGGTAGCAGTGGACAAAGTTCAGTCTCCACGCTCTTCACACGGGAAGTGGACAGGCTTCAATCTGCACTTGAAATGACAGATCCAGGTGGCAACAGACATGGTCATCAGGTGAGCAGGATCGGGATCACCAGCGCCAGGTACTGAGCACCCCACTGAGCAGCAGCATGCACAGGAGCAGCTGCAGAGAGAGACCTCTGGGAGGAGGAGCGGGAGAAGACGTCCTGCACACCACAGGGTCTGCCCTGTACGGCCTCTCTATGTTGGGGGGCAAGGCTGTCATTCCTTGGATCTGGAAAGCAAAGTGAAGAAAATGCCAGTGAGCGTGCAACTGAAGCCCAGGCCACCTCTGCCTCTGCAGGATGTCACGCCAACAAGGACGGGTGTGGAGAGAGGCAGACACTGGGAGACACGGAAAGCCAGGTGCGCAAGGGAGGCGGATGGGAAGGAACTACATACACAGCCTACACAGCTGGCTTCGGGGCTTTAACTTCAAGCTCTGACCCATCCTCTGCCTGCTCCGCCACATGCTTGGTTTCATGATAAATGTATTTCTTCAAGGGGAGCTTGCAGGAATTAGTTTTCAGTCAACCCAAATAATCACCGAACAAATAACCGATGAGTGTGGTGGCTTCAATCTAGATGTCCTCCTAAAGCCTCGCAGGTGGCTCCATCTAGTCTGTGACACTGCTGGGATTGAGGGTGTGATGCTGGGATTGAGGGTGCCCCACCCTGGGCTGCCTGCCCAGAGCAGCTGGATGGCAAGGGACAGAAAGAGGGCTGCGGGGGCTGAGCTCGGCTGGCCTCCCTGCTGTCTGCCTGCCCTGCCAGGCCCGGGCTGCTTCTCCTCTTCGATGACCCCTCCTTGCAGCCAGCTGACTGTGGATTGAAACTCCTAGAAACTGAGCCCAAGTGAATTTTTCTTCCTTTGACTGTGAATGTTGGGTAATTCGTCTCAGCAATGAGAAAAGTAACTAAATCCCTCAGCCATATGGAAAGACGACCCGACCATTGGTGTACAGATGTGTGTCTGATCCTCAGATCTAGGTAAAATATTCTTTATTTAGTCTCTATCAGCGGTGAGAAGGAAGGGGAGCTTACCGACCACTCCGCGTTATCTGTCTTGGAACATCTCACGTTCACGGGCAGGCTCAGGACAAGCTTGTTGAAGGACAGCCCCTCTTTCTTAGTCCATTTAAACTTATTCATTGCATCCATGAAAGAAAGGTTTTTATACTGCTTGGGGCTTTTGATAATGAAAGGCCATGTCCTGAAATTAAATAATCACAGCTGTATTTAGAACAAAAACATCACCTGTTCCTTTTGCTTTAAGCATTTTAAAGTAGGCTTTGTACTCATTTTTCATACATAGGTAACGCTATGTGAAGCACTTGTGAACTCACTAGTGCTTACTAATATATATACATCAAATGAGGAGTCTTCAAGACACGTCCTATGCTATCCTTCACATCTCGTCCCTTCCTTCCCTCCCTCCACACTCTTCCTTCCTTCCTTCCTTCCTTCCTTCCTTCCTTCCTTCCTTCCTTCCTTCCTTCTTTCCTGCGGGGTAAAATGAAGACTGAAACCAGGAGTACTCTCCCAATGAGTTGGATCCCCCTCCTTATGTTTTACATTTTCTTTGGAGACAGGTCTTGCCACGTCATCCTGGCTGGCCCTGAGCTGCAGCACCACCTCAGCCTCCTGCAGTTCTGGCTTGCTCCTGCGTTAGCAGCAGGTGGATATCATCTCTAACAAAATCATGTTGGCCTCAGACAGCTTCCCGAGAGTCTCACAGGCCTAGTTAACCACGTCAGTGAGAAGCACTCATCTCTGGAGAGTCCACGCTAACAGTGGGACAGGGACACGCAGTCGGTTTTTGAGAGACCTGTGACAAGCACAGAACCCAAAGCCATGCACTGGGAAAGCCCAGCCCCTGCTGTCAGTCTGCGTTCACCTTGCCTGAGCGAGAAGACACAGAAGGGTGGAATTTGAGCCAAAGGTCTAAAAATTGTATGGAGAAAAAAAAATCTCTATACCCAATACAATTTTCTCCCACTTTCCACATGTTAAATGTTCAAGAAAGCAAGAAGAAATCACCAAGAATGACTCAACCAGCTTGAACGATGACTCTTTTGATACCTTTCGTTAAAATATAGTATTTAATTTCTGTGCTCGTCAAAAAATTTACATGAGCTAATTCGTGAGTGTTACAGGAAATTATTGTGGGAGACCACTGGGTGTTTGGCTCCACGGCACCCCAAGCAGGAGGTCCAGTAATTTCTAGTAGTTACCAAATGATGATCAACCCACTAGGAAATCAATATTTTAAATATTTAATCTTCACAATTTCTTCATTTATTTTTGTCTTCACTTTTCCTATAGGCATAACCTACTCAGGCACATTGAACATTACTTTTTAAAGTAAATTAGACAAACTTTATTAACTTTTTGGAATTAAGAAGATAAAATCTTTACTACAAAGATTGAAAGTTATTTCTTCTATAATCAAATAAGTGAGAACAGCAGGAAAATATAGGAAAACTCTTATATTCTTCAAAATTAATTTCTTTTTTACTCTAGTTAAAGTTGTTGTACCATCATTGAAATTTATTTAATTTTGGTTGTTTGACACAGGGCCTTGCTTTGTAGTTCAGGCTGACCTTGAACTCCCTGTGTAGCCTAAATTAGTCTTGAACTTGTGGCAATGCAAATGCTTTAGTGCACTGAGTGCTTGGATTGCAGGAGTGTACTGCCATGCCCTGCTTTTCATAGTTTACTTTTAAATACACTGCTTTACACAGATATCTTAAACTAAGTATCATAAATTAAGAGCTTCCCAAAGCAGTTAAACTACAGTTCCCACTACATTAAACACATCCCACCTACCAATGACCTAAAATCTATAACAATTATTAATCAAGTTATGGCTTGTATAGGTACATAATCTAGAATTAGTATAAAATGAAAGCTTGAAAGAAACCTACTAAATTTGCAGACAGTGTCCTTTTTTATTTTAAAAGAGAAAAACAGAAATTCATAACAAGATAATATGAAATTAACAATGGTTAATATGTTGCATATTGCTGTCTTCAAAGTAATTGCTCAGATTACAACATGTAGGCATGCAAAACTGATCTAACAATATAAACACAAATCATTCTTTTCAAAGAACTAAGAGAAATTAGTAAAATAATTATCTTAGATATCTTGTGTGTGTGGATTAGATAGACAGACAGATGGGTAGATAGACAGACAGATAAATGTTTTGTTTTCCCTTCCTTCTTTTCCCCCTTCCCCCATCCCAGTTGTTCTTTCCTTTGGCACAGTTTCTTTCCCCTTCACAATATCTATTGTACCTTTGGGATCTTATTTACTCTTTCAGTTTCTCATACTAGGCCAACAATATGATGTTTATATATGCAAATCTGATTTATTTCACTTATGAGTATTTTCTCTAGGTGCATCAATTTACCTATAAAAGCCTCAAGTTTATCCTTCTTTGTAGCTGTGTAATGCTCCATTGTAAAAAAATTATCACATCTTTTTATTCACTCTGTAGCTGCTAGGCATTTGGGTTGTTTCCAAGATTTAGCTAATACAAATTGTGTTGCTATAAACATGGATGCACATATATCTTTGTGGTATGATGTTTTCAATTCTTCTGGGAAAATACTCAGAAGGGGAATAACTGGGTTGAGGAGGACCTGTAACCCTAGTTTGTTGAAGAATCTCCATAATGACTTCCACAGTGGTTGCACCAGTCTATACTCCCACCAACAGCTAAGAAGGGTTCCTTTTACTTATAGCCTCTCCAGCATTTGTTATTAGTTGTTATTAGTTAGATGGCAGTCATTCTTTCCAGAGTGAGGTTGAATATCAGTGTTTTTTAATTTGCATTTCTCAACTGACCAATGATGTTGGACATTTTTTCATGTGCATTTGCCATTTGTATTTCTTCATCTGAGAAATGTGTATTCACCTCAGATGCCCATTTTTTAATGCAAAGGAACTGAAATTATACTATGAATGTTATATGAACAAAGTGCAATGAAATTGGAAATTAATAGCAAAAGAAACTTCAATAACTCCTTAAACACGTGGAAATTAAAGTGTCTTTTAAAGTGGTCCAACAGTTACAGCTTTTATTTAATAGAAAGTAATTTAAAAGCAAATTTTAAAACTTATTTAATATTTTCAAACCTTAGCATTATTGGACATTTCAAATATTATGTTAATATTTCCAGATATTATATATTTGGAAATAAAAGGGATCTATTTTGAAAAGAGAAAATCAATTTTATAACAGAAAAACACTGAAGGTGGGGTGGTGCCGCTAATCAGTCTGCAACTACCTGAACCACCACATGGTGGCGCTCGGAGCTTGAGCGCTGGGTTGAGGTGGGCGAACAGCAGCCTGCACTTCCCATGTAAGCCTTCTGCACAGGTGAAGAGTGGCCCTTCCCGAGATTGCACAGCACAAAGAGAAAAACGAACTGCAACCACATATGTCAACCTTTACTGCTGACAGGCAGAAAAGGGTAAACGCCTTGGCTGCTTAAGTGTAGGAGATAGTGTCTGAGCCTGGAGGCCCCCAGGATGTCTGTGCCTCCCTGAGCTGGCTTCTCTGTCGTGTGTTTCTTGTCTCTTTTCCACCCCTGCTGACTGTTTCCGGGATCCCAGCCTATAATGTTACTATAGCAATACGCGTTCCCCTTGTCATCTCTAACCTGCCCAGCTGGTCTAGTACCACACTGCCAGATAAACTACTGGAGAACAGAGAAAAATGTTATTTGGCTATCACTGTACAGTGGGTCCTCGGTTCACAAACTTAATTCTTTTCATGATACTGGTCAGAAACTGAATGGATGAGAACTGAACCAAATTCAGTGACTAGGTTCAACGTTGACCTTATGAGGAAATTTGGTTCAGTTTTCAGCCTATTCGGTTGTCGACCCGAATTGCGGAAAGAACTGGTTCAAAACAAAATGAGTTACTGTTGTGGTTTAATATTTATTGATAGGCAATTTTCCTTTGTAAATCCAATCTAAGTTCCAAAATAAGTTTTTTTTGAGTAGCAGCAAAATTTCTTCTGCACACAGTGAAGTACATAAGTTTTAATTTTCCAGCAAAAACACAGCAGTTTATATTTGAAATTCAGTCCGATCAATGAAAATTTTAAAACTTTAATGATTTTTAAAATCATGAAAATTTTAAAATTTTAATGATTTTTAAAATCAGCCTCCTGCATAAATTGAAAAGCAGATAGAGGAACTAATCTGTGTTTACAGTTTTTACCTGAGCCTCTGAAAATCCCTGTCCTGTTTTAAAAGTTTTGCTGCTGAGTCTTTCTTGAGAATAGAGGGAGAGAGGGAGAGAGACGGAAGGTCTCACAGGAAACAGTGTCCCAGCATGTTTAGCTGAATGACTAACATCACAGATTCTCCGTCTAGCAAACAACCATGTGATCAAAGGTAGTAAAATTTTAAAAATGTATTAACAGACTTTTATTTCTGGCTATGTTGGAATAGCTGATATCAGCTTACTACCGAAAATTTTTTTTAAAATGTGGAACATTTAGTTTTGGACACTGGAAACACCCAGCAAAAGCAGCAGAAAATGCAGGTGCCCTAAAGGCAGGGAATGGAGTGTGCCAGCGCTGCTCATCCCAGCTTCCTCCCGCAGCCACTTCTGCACCTGGTGAGGAGGTGTGGTTTCCATGGCAGTCACAGCAAGGGGACGAATATCAGTGCTAAGGAGTCCACAGAGACAGAAAGCTCTTTCCCACATATGAATAAAGAGCCCTACATCTGAACTGAGTAAGGAGCCAACTGAATTTAGGATAAACTTCCACAAGACTGAGCAAAGAATAGCTGTGTGATTCTAAACTCAGAGCTGGCAGACATTCAGAATCCAACAAGCCGGTGTGAAATGTTTTCACTGAGTCACAGGCACGTAGCAGGAGACTCAGGGTGGGTCAAGGGTAAGCTACCTAAGCCCTAAGCGTCCTTTTAGACTCCAACTAACTGCAAGTTTTAAATAAATAAAAACAGTCTAATATTGATCAACATAAAATCTACAAAGTCCAGTATCTGTGTTTGGTCAAAAGTTACTGGATACATGAAAACCTAGATAAAACATAAGCCTTAGCCGGGAAAGATCAGTGAATGCTCCAAAACCTAGAACTGACAGAATTAGCATGAAAGAGCATTAAAACATTAAAAAAAACTAACAAAATATGTGCAGACACTTCATCAAAAACTATGGAACACT